CAACTTCCCTTGGGGGAAGGCGCGAGAGGAAGCAAAGTTTGGGGTTCCTCCCTCAGCCCGCCTCTGACCCCGGCTCTCTGCTCTAGGTTGGCACCACACTGTCCCGGATAACCAGGCTGGGGACAGGGAAGAAAACATCGGGGGATTCGAACCCTGAGAAGGCTGGTCCAGAAAACGGCAGGAGCGAAAGTCGCCAGCCCCCCAGAAGCTGCAGGTCCCGGCCCGTCTGCCAGTCACCACCAGCTGCAGGTCTAGCAGTGGCTCTGATTGTGGGGGGCCCCACCCTCCATCTTTGCTACCTCAGTTTCCCCGCCAGCCCAGTCTCAGCAGGGTAAGTGGTGGCACAGGGGTTGGAGTGTGGGGACGTGGTCATGAGCCAGCCAGCCTCTGAATTCACACCAGATGTGAATGCGGCCGTGAGTCTTTCGGGGCGTCTGGGAGAGAAGGGCTGAACTGGGCCCCCGACTCACAGATTCACACAGTGACTCGGGAGAACTATAGCTCGGTGAATGCGGCAGAAATGCAGGTGTGGGGCACCAAAGACGGTGCCCAGTCCTGTCGGGGGAACAGCCCTGTTGGTCTGCAGCCCCCGCCCTTGCTCTGCCCTGCTGGGGTCCCACTGGTGGGTTTTCTGGGGATTCCCATGGGAAAGGGGCGCCCTCCTCAAATCTGATTTCAGTGACCTCAGGTCGAGAGAGTAAGGGGGGGAGAGAGAGAGAGTGAGTTGGGGTGATGGTGGGTGGGTGGGCACCCCGCTTTGCAATGGGTTTTATTTTTACTTCTTTTGGGTCACACCTGGTGATGCTCCCAGCTCAGCACTCAGCAATTATTCCTGGTGATGCTCGGGGGGACCCTACGGGATGCTGGGATGAAACCCAGGTCGGCCACATGCAAGGCAAATGCCCTCCCCACTGTGCTATCACTCTAGCTGACACCTACTTTGCTCCTGGCGTCCCAGCAAATGGGGCGGGACCCCTGTCTGAGAGGCTGCTGTGTGTGTGGGCACCGCCCTGGCCAGGAGCCTTGGGGCCAGCTCTGGGGTCCGAGGGGACAGGTCATAACTCACTGCTCCTGTCTGCTTCCCTGGCCTCTGTGGATCTGGTCCCTCCCCTCTGGAGGCAGGAGGCTCCTGCAGTTTGTTTTGTCTGGTTTGGGGAGCATTGCCTAGGGCTTTCTCCTGGCTCTGCCTTTGGGGGGTCTCTCCTGGTTGGGATCATTCAGCAGGGACCCTAGGGGTTGCCAGAGGTCAGGGATCAGACGCAGGTCAGCTGCGTGCCAGGCAAGTGCCCTCCCGGCTGTCCTCTTGCTATTATCCCCCCCACCCCCGAGTTCTCCTCCTACAAGGATGGAGTGAATTCCGTCCCCTCACAAAACAGGTCATAAGGGTCAAACCCAGGACAGCAGGCCGGAGGGGCTGGGGTGACCACTGACTCTTTACTCGATGTCCCGTGTGCCCATGACCCTCAAGAGGAGCCCTGTGGCTCCCCAGTGGTCTGGCCCTGCAGCTGACATAAGCCTTTGACACCCCCTTGCTTTTCTTTTTCTTTTTTTTTTTCTTTCATCAACCCCAGTGATGCTCAGGGGTTACTCCTGGCTCTACACTCAGGAATTAGTCCTGGCGGTGCTCAGGGGACCACAGGAGATGCCGGGGATTGAACCCAGGTTGGCTGCATGCAAGGCAAACGCCCTCCCCGCTGTGCTATCACTCCAGCCCCCCCCCCCCTCCTTGGTTTTTGAAAGCACTCCCGGGGGTGTCTGCAAGGTGGCGGGAGTTGCAGAGTCTGTCTGTCTGTCTGTCTGTCTCTCACTGCCATACCAGGCGATGCCCAGCCTAGGGATCACTTCTGGCAGGACTCAGAGAACCCTACGGGATGCCGGAGATCAAACCCTGGTCTGCTATGTGCAAGGCCAGCACCCTTCCCTCTGGACTATCACTCTGGCTCCATGTGGTGTCAAGACAGGAGCCTTCCCCCAGCTACCCCCCACCCCCCGCTGGAGGGAAAAGGACCCTGAGAGTCCAGCCTCTTCCACAGGGGCCCAGACCCTGGGTTGCTCTGACCAGCGGGCCCCATGCCAGCAGCTGTGGCCCCCAAACCACACTCCAGGCTGTGGGCAGGACCGAATGTCCCTCACTCCGCAGCACCGGGACCTCCGCCTCCTGGTCAGCCCTGCCAGTGGACAGCAAGAGGGGGTGTCTCAACACAAGGGGTACACCAGAGCCCCCAACCTCAGCCGGTTTGGGTGGGCCTTGCCCAAGGTCACAAAAGCCACAAGCCACGGCGAGGTCACCTGCCCTGTCTCCTAGATTGTTGACACAGTGATGCTTAAGCCATGTGGCAGGGTCCACTGTGATGCCTGCCCCCCCAACGCACACACCCCTTCCTTAGAGGATGAGGATTTGTTGGCAGTGCCTGCCACACCTGGGACCCTTCCCAAGGCTGGAAGTACAAGAGTGCTCGGAAGTTCACAGGGAGGGGACGGAGCAAAATTCCAGGAGGACAGAGACACCCTCGTACCAAGGAGAGCAGGGCCAGGGAGCCCGGGGTACCCACAGCCTCATTCTCGAACCTGGGGCACAAGCAGACAGGCCACGGTGTGGTCGGGATCGGGAGGAATCAGGCCACCGCTGGGATGCCAGGGCCGCAGCTCACGGGCTGGGTGTTCCCCGCCCGGGTTCTGGAAGGGAGAAGGAGGCTGGAGACCCCTTATCCAGGTAAACACCCCCCACCCCCCACCCCCCGTGTGGCTGGCTAGGAGACGGCCCCCAGGGAGTTTGGCATCTGGCTTTTTAAAATCCAAGACGATGTGATTTTTTTCCTTTTTTTTAACATCCAAGGGAGAAGCCCCAGATTTTTGTTTTTTTCCCCCTCAGACTGCTCCTGATAAAATTTATTGTCGGGGTGTTTGGAGACGTTACTGGGCCCGCTCGAGCAAATCGACGAACAACGGGGTGTTTGGGCGCTCAGGGGAAGAGACAGGAAGGGCCTGGAATCATTTTGGAAGCATCTTCTCAGATTTTGGAGGTCTGGCCTTGGAAAGCACCCTTGTATCCAGGTGCAAAGTTCTGGAGGGTGTGTGTATATGGGGGGGGGTCACCTAACACCAACAAAACCCAGCACCCCCAAGCCCAGGAATTACTTCCTACTCGGTGCTAATTCCTTTCATTTACTTTGCAATCCATCACCTCCAGGATGAAGTGGAGTTTTTTCTTTTTGATGGAGGGGGGGCTGGAAAGTGAGGAGGCTCATCACATTTTCCTTGGCTGACCCCAAAGGCCTGACCCCCGGCTCCGAGGTCTTGACTCGAAAGGAATCTGGAGGAAACAGATTCAATAGTTTCCCTTCACCCATAGATACTCGGGAGGGTCCGGGTCGTGGACCCCATGTCTGGTCCTGGCCCCCGGGGAGCTCACGGTTTGCTGGGAGGGCTGTGCCTGGGGGTCTGGGATACCTTGAGATGCGTGCGGTTGTGGGTGTTTGTTGGGGGGTCCCCTTGGGATCTCAATGATGCTGACCCAGAGTTTCTATATGGCTTCCTGGTGGGGCTCAGACACTGCGATCCACCAACGACACTGAAGGTTCCCCTGCACCCCGGGGGGAGGAGTGTCCGTGCATCATGATGGGAGGGGTGGGACGAGGTGGGGGACAGGTCAGCCCCTAGACCCCAAATGCGGGAGGCTGCACTGAACATGTGGGGGCTGACAGTCTCCCTGGACCCCGCTTCTAGGGACTCACAGTGGGCAGGATGTGGTGAAGGAGAAAGGGGCGCTGTCAGGCCTGTTCGTCCCTGTCCCCGGCCTTCTCCGTGTCCACTCCCGCCTGTGCCTGGAGTGGTCCCCCTCCCCCTCCCCCTCCCCTCAGCCCCTCTCCTGGCCCCAAAGGAACGGCAGATGGCTCGCGGCGCCCTAAACATAGGATGTGCTTCTCGTTGGCTGCGTGGCGGGACTTAAGGCAAAGGTGTGATTCCCCTCTTTAAACAGAGATGACGGCCCCAGTCTCGGCACAAGAGCCGGCCGGGGCGACCCTGGAGTTGAGGATGGCAGTGAGGTGGCGGGTGGTGGGTGGGTGGGAGTGATGGGGAGGGGGGAAGGCAGAGAGGACAGGAATCAGGATGCAGTGGCCCCAGGACACTGGTGATCTGAGGGGGACCCCAGGTCTGGGGGGTGGTGGGGAGGGCTGTGAAGGGTTAAAAATCTCAGGCCCTCTGGCGCCAGGATATCGGGGTGTCAGGAGGAGAACCCAGGAGCACCATGGCACTCTGGAGTACCCCATTCCCCCATGCCATGCTAAATTTCTGGCTCTGTATGGTTTTTTTTTGGGTGGGGAGTACAAAGCATTACCCCTCCCCCCAAAAAGCGCCACAGCTCATTCAGCCCCAGGAGGAACAGCCAAGGCTCTGCTGGGTGTCTCGTCTCTCTCCTAAAGGTCGGGATCACCCCCTCCCTGTATTTTTTTAAATTTATTTGGCATTTGGGGTCATGCCCAGTGATGTACAGGGGTTACTCCTGGCTCTGCACTCAGGATGACTTCTGGTGGTGCTCGAGGGGACCCTATGGAATGCTGGGAATTGAACCGGGATCTGCCGTGTGCAATGCAAGACGCTCTCCCCGCTGTGCTATCGCTCCAGCCCATCACGGCCACCCTGTAGAATTTGAGGTTCCCTTCTCCTACCCTCCCTCCCCCTGCCCAGCCAGAATAGGGTGGGGGGGTGTTAAGGGGGGTGTTGTCCCCAGGAAGTGAGGGGTGGGGGCTGCACTCTGATTCCTGTCCCCCACATGGGGGTCTCAGCATGAGGAAATGGATGGAAGGGGACAGGCAGGCGGGGGGGGGGGGGGGGGGGGAGTGAGTGACCGCGTCCAGCCTGCAGGAAAGAGGGGGACCGGGTGGGGGTGCGGTATCGTTGGGGGGGATGCAATGCAGATGCAAGTGGGTCTCACAGGGTCACCCGGGCTTCCCTTGCTACCAAAACCTTCTATACAGAGGCTATACATATTTATTTATGTACACGGAGGTGGACGGCGGGCCGGGGCTCAGAGGCAGACGCTGGTGTGGGTCTGGCAGGTGGAGCCGGCGCCCGCCTGCGACAGGAAGAGTCGGCCGTTGGCGCACGCACAGATCTCGAACACCTTCTGCCGGGCGCCCGCGGGCGCGTGGGCCCCGTGGGGCAGCCGGGGGAGTCTGATGCTCGCAGCGTCCAGCCTGATCTGCCGAGAGTGGGCACGGCGCGGTTACGGATCGGGGAGGGCGGGGGGAGGGGTCCCGGCCGGCCCCGCCTCCACCCGGTGGGTGAGTCCAGGTCACCCGCACCGTGATAGGATGCAGGATGCGCTTTGGCTTTGGGGTTAGAGGTGAGGCGGAGGGGTGCTGGACGGGGAACAAACTCCTTTTTAAATTAAAAAAAATTGTTTTTTAGGGTTGAGGGCATGCCTGGCTGTGCTCAGGGATTATTCCTGGCTCTGCGCTCAGGGATCTCTCTTGGTGGTGCTCGAGGGACCCTATGGGATGCTGGGGATCGCACCCAGGTTGGCCGTGTGGAGGCAAAGGCTCTCCCCACTGCACTATCTCTCCAGTCCCCCCAGCTCTTTCTTTCTTTCTTTTTTTTTTTTTGGGTCACACCCAGCGATGCACAGGGATTACTCCTGGCTTTGCACTCAGGAGTTGCTCCTGGCGGTGCTCAGGGGAACATATGGGATGCTGGGAATCGAACCCAGGTCGGCCGCGTGCAAATGCCCTACCCGCTGTGCTATCTCTCCAGCCCTGACTCTGACTCCTTCCTTCCTTCCTTCCTTCCTTCCTTCCTTCCTTCCTTCCTTCCTTCCTTCCTTTTTCTTTCTCTGTCTTTCTTTGTCTCTCCCTGTCTTTCTTTCTCTGTCTCCTTCCTGTCTCTTTCTCTTTTTTTCTTTCTGTCTGTCTCTCTCTTTCTGTCTTTTTCTTTCTCCTTCCTTCCTTCCTTCCTTCCTTCCTTCCTTTCTTTCCTTCCTTCCTTCCTTCCACACCCAGTGATGCTCAGGGCAGACTCCTGGCTCTGCACTCAGGAATCACTCCTGGTGGTGCTCAGAGGGATCCTATGGGATGCTGGGAATAGAACCCAAACCAGCACCCTCCCCATTGCACTACAGCTCCAGCCCCTATGTTTGTGTTTTGGCCCGCACTTGGTGTGCAAAATCCATTCCCGAGTGAACCCGAGCAGGCTCAGGGGCTTTATGTGTCCTTCTGGGGACCCACATGGTAGAGAGGCTGCGTGCCAGGTCCAGGGCCTACCTGCTGTCCTCACTTGTCCCTGCTGGAAACAATCAGAGGCGATGCCAAACCTAGTGGCTGGCGGGCCAGAGGGGCAGTGGCCAGCAGGCCGCAGGGCTGGACAGTTTCGCTTTGAAAAATGCCACCCAGAGCTCTTGCTGGTGTGAAGAGTGTGTGTGTGGGGAGGGGCACAAGGGGGGACCCAGGCATGTGTTTCCACTTGGGGGGTGTGTCTCCCACGCTGGCGATGGCTGAAGGCACCGCCTTGGGGCTGGCATCACGGCGCCGTCCTTCCTTCCGGTGGGTGGGTGCATCTGGGGGCGGCCGCCCACCTACCTCTCCGTCTTTGGACTCCAGCCTGAGCTCTGCCCGGCACGTGGCCTCCAGGTTGCCGGCCTCGGCGTTGATTTCCACCCCCTTGGGGGCCTCCATCACCAGGGACCGTGTGGGTGACTCCAACCTGGAAGAGACACGGGACCGGGGTTGGAGCGAGAGCACAGCGGGGGAGGGCGTTTGCCTTGCACGTGGCAGACCGGGGTTCGATTCCCAGCATCCCATCGGGTTCCCCGAGCACCGCCAGGAGTCATTCTTAAGTGCAGAGCCAGGAGGAACCCCTGTGCGTCGCTGGGTGTGACCCAGAATGCAAAGAGACATAGGGCCAAAAGTGAGGCTCCCCCTGTCCCCACAATGCCTTGCACCAGGGCAGAGGGGACCCTGGGGGCGTTGAGGTATGGTTCTGTGTCTGTGGCCCGCATCGTCCCAGTGTCTAGTGCCCTGTGTCAGAGGCCCCATGTTGGGCATTGTTCGTGTCTGAATGGGCTTGTGTCCGTGGACGGATGGAGTTTGGGGCGGCGGTGATGAGGTGAGTCTTTCACGCCGTTTTTCTTTGTGAACGTACTTTCTGGTGATGAACGTCAGGGCCCCGGATTTAAGGAATGTCGGTTCTTTCAGTTCTTCAATCTGGTTATGGTGGCAGGTGGAAACCTGGCCGGCTGTCACGCATTTCGACTTTGTTTCATTTTCACTGTCAAGTGGCGGGGGTGGGGGCCACTCCCATGGCGCTCAGGGGCCATGCGTGGTGGCGACAGGGATGGACCCAGCTTCCCCCCCACAATAGGTCTCCTTCCATCCTCGTTCCTGCCTCGTCATATTAACTGGTTGCAGTGGGGGGGGGCTGATTTTTTTTTCTTTTCTGGATGGTTCATTTGCCTTCGTTTGGAAAGGGGGGTGTGCTCAGTGCCCGCAGCACCCCGAAAGGCCAGCTCCTCCCTGCAGGGCTAAAAAGTCATCCACCCCTCCTGGCGTCTGTTCTCCCAGCCCTCCTCTATCTCGGGGTGTCTTTCTAGAAAGCCCACTGGGGTTATTCTTGATTTCTGCTTGTTATGTTCTTTTTTTGGGGGGGGGTAGGGCAGCGGGGGAGGTGTTTGGGTTTGGGGGCTACACTTGGTGATGCTCAGACTTCCTCCTGGCTCTGCACTCAGGGATCACTCCTGGTGGGGCTCCGGGGACCCGATGGGATGCCGGGGATCGAACCCGGGTCGGCTGTGTGCCAGGCAAGTGCCCTCCCCACGTACTATCACTCTTCGGCCCCCACATCTGGGTTTGTTTTATTTTATTTTGGGGCCTGCAGCCGGCAGTGCTCAAAGCTGATTCCTGACTCTGCACCACTCGGGGATCACTCCTAGTGGGGCTCAGGGGACACGATGGGGTACCGGGGATCGAACCCGGGTTGGCCCACATGTCAAGCGAGTGAGAACATCCTCCCCACTGCCCTGTGGCCCCGACCCCTTCATTTCTGCTTTTCTGATGCCTGTGTTTCCTTCCTTACCCAGCGTGCATATTCCTAAGACCCCGAGCCGCTGCCTTGGGGGGTCTCCACTCGCATCGTTGTCCCCTTTCTAGTGCCAGGTGCCCTCATTTCTAGGTTTTGACCCGGCTCTGCTTCTGGGGACCCCCACCCTGCCCCCCTTGGCCATGCCCACGTGTTGAGGTGAGGGGGCGCCTGGGTGAGCAGGTGCAGGGTGGGGGGGGGTGACAGGAAGTAGGAGCTGAGCAGGCAGCCCTGGGGAAGGACAGGGCAGGAGGGGAGGACTTGGGGGGCTGCTGTGGGGCGGGGCAGGCCCCAGCAGATGGGGAGCAGGGGAGTCGGGCCCTGCAGTTGTTAGTCTGTGAGTGAATGGGGTGCGGGCTCCCCCAAGGAATGAGTGATGCCAGAGGAGGATGTAGGCCAGGGGACATGAGTCACAGAGACCAGGAAATGGGGCGATGAGCCTAGTTCTGGTAGGAGGGAGCTCCGAGGGGGGAGCTAGGGGCTGGGTGGTGGGTGGGGTCGGCCTCAGAGTCTCAGGGCTCTCTTGGGGGGTGGTATAGAGCCGCAGCCGTGGTCCTGAGACATGGAAGGGGCTGGTGGGGAGGGGCGGTAGGTGTCTTGTGGGGGACGGACCCATTCAGGTGCCCGGCTTTGTCTTGCACATGACGAGCCACAGAGGAAATCTCCCTGCCCCACCAGCCGGCCTCGGAGACACAGTCCCACAGGCAGAGATGGTGCCTATCACTTCTGCCGTGCAGCCGGGGAGGGTTTTGTTAAAAAGCCCCGTTTGGACAAAACTCATCATGGGTGGTGGGCGGGGGGGAGGGGCGTGCTACGCAGAGACTGGGCAGAAGATTCCGGAGTGATACAGGGAGTGTGTTGTGTGTGCTGTGTCTGTGTATGTGCTCTGTGTGTTGTATTGTGTGGTGTGTGTAGTGTGGTCGTGTGAAGCCCAGGGCAAGTCTCAGTGTCTCCCGTGCTCGCTCTGAGTGGATGCCACCCAGCCAGGGAACAAGTGGCCAGAGGCAGCTTCTGCTCCGGCGATGGGGCGGGGATGTGCGTCTGTGAGACTCCCTGGATCCATTCGGTCCCCACCTAGTGGACCCAGGGAGTGGGTCCACTAGGTGGGGACCAAATGGACCTAGTGGCCTAGTGGTCTAGTGGAGCGGGACGTGTGGGAGGGGGGGTGGACGCGTCCCTCGGCTAAGGCAGGGCCTGAGGGTCCTCTCGCGCACTCGGCTGGGATGGACGCCCAGCCCTGCTGCCCGTTTCTTGGGCCCCTCCCCACCCATGTCGTCTGGCTGCTGCCCTGTGGACACATGTACAGGTAGGTGGGGAGGGGGCTGTGTCCCTACCTTGAACCCTCATGCATGCCCCGAGCCACGGTGCAGAGGCATATCTCCCACCTTTAGGGGATTCCGTGGGGTGCTGGGAAGGCGCCCTCTGTGCAGACCCCTGCTGGCCTGCAGTTGGGGGCACCCCAACCTGCTGACCTCTTGGTGCCCACAGTGGAGAGAGGGGCTGCCTTCAAGAATTCCACCGTACACCACCCCCCCAAATCTCACATCAAGCTGGGGTTTGGTCTCTGGGGAGCCTCAGAGAGCGTGAGTCTCCCTCCCCGCCCCAGGCACCGTGAGGGTTTGCCCCATAGGGGCTCTGAGGAACCCCCCCCCCCAGGCTCATGGGAGGCAGGATCAGGTCAAGGCCAGCAGAGGGCATGGCAAGACCTCAGCAGGGTCCTGAGAAGAGACGGTGCCCCAAGCTGGGGACATCGTGAGGCCACAGGCCCTGTGGGAGTGCTCACACCCATGAGTGCAGAGCTTGGGCGGGTCGCAAAGGCATCAGCTGCCCCCTGACTGGACGGCAGGTGCATGGTGCCCCCCTCAGCCGAGACCCCCCTCTCCGTGATAGAAACAATAAAATTTTCACATTAAAATATAGCCTTTTTATGTATCTGTTTTGTAGTCGGATAATTTGGGCCACACCTGGCGATGCTCAGGGCGGAGTGTCAGCCCAACGTCCCCATGGGCAGGAGCAACAATTCTCACAGGTTTGTTCCCTGCAGAAATCAGTCTTTGCCCATCCTGTTAGCAGTCGGGAGTCAATACGAGGGGGGTGGGAAGGGCCAACACTGGGCTCAAACCCTCACGAACAGCCTTGGAAATAAAGAAGGCGTTCAAATAAAATCTGCAGGAAAGAGCATGGGTGTTAAGGAAGTTAGTGAATTCCCCTTCCTGCATCCTGGCCACCCCACCTTCCAGCAGTGAGCCTGGGCGGGAGGGCTCTGCAGGGGGAGATGAGAAGGGCGACAGGCTGGGGAGAGTCTCTTAAGGAGGAAGGAGGAAGTTCAGTGGCGTTGGGTACCATTCACTTTTTTTGCTTTTTGGGTCACAACCAGTGGTGCTCCGGGGTTACTCTTGGCAGGTACCATTAACTCGTAATGAGCATGTGAAGGGCCAATTCTCCTTAAGGGGTGGGGGGGAACGGATAGCTCTGCTGGTTGAATGCTGGTCTCCGGAAGGCAGGAGGAAGAGGGAGGAGGAGGAAAAAGGGAGAGGAGGAGTGCTGGGGTGGCCACGGTGTGGAAAGCCCGGGTCCCTGGAATGGGAAAGGGCGGGATGGACCCAGGAATCCCTTAATTCTGCTGCAGCTTCGGAGGTTCTGCATCTTGAGAAGAAAAAGGCTTTGTGGAAAGGGCCCAACGCTTAGGAAACTAACCGCTGTCTCAGGCTCCAGGGCTGCGGGAAAGATGGAGCAAGGAGGGAGGAAAACCCGTGACTTTCTTACTGTTCCTTCGTGAGGACTAGCAAGAATTTCTTACTATTATTCCTATATAATCTTAGTATTATATCTAATATAATATGCAACATATAATTATATGCTATAAATTACAATAATCTTTATATTATAATTATATAATCTCAAAAGTAAGATTTCTTACTATTTCTGTGCAGTCTCTGCAGATCTCTTGGCTAGAGATAAATTAACACGTGCACCTCCATGGGTCTGCACACATACAGAGAGAGAGAGAGAGACACACACACACACACACACACAGTTAAAGCCAACCCATCCAGGGCTGGAACGATAGTACAGCGGGTAGGGTGTTTGCCTTGCACACAGCCGACCGGGGTTCGATCCCTGGCATCCCATAGGGTCTCCCGAGCACCGCCAGGAGTGATTCCTGAGTGCGGAGCCAGGAGGAACCCCTGAGCATCGCGGGGTGTGGCCCAAACAACAACAACAACAACAAAATGAAGTCAATCTGTCAAGCAAAGAAACAGAGAAAGCCAATCCCACGCTTCCAGTCTGGGGAGTCCGGCACGAGGCAAGGAAGCAGTCAGGTGGACACACTCCCAAGCATCCTTCTCTGATCCCGGAAACTGACCGGCCGCGCTGGCTGCCCACATGATAAAGTGCTGACGGGCAATAAATCCCGAGCTGGTTTTAAACACGTTAAGAGTAAAGGGATAAATTCATTCCTTTTCTGTCAGCATGTGGGCCCCCGTCTCCTCCTTCCTTCCCGAAGATATACACACCCTTTAAATCTTTCAGCACGTAAAGGAGTGCAGATTTAGTACCGAAACGTTCCAAACGCAAAGCCCTCCAGAACAGCTGAGTGCACGTGTGTGTGTGTGGGGGGGGGGGGGGCAGGGGAAACAGAGAAAATCCCAAGGGTGTCCTGGGGGGAAATATTCTGTCACATAGTGACTTGTTAGCCTTGGGGTGGGGGAGTTAAGGCTGGCTTTGAGGGTAGGGAGCTTCCTGTCCTTATTAGATGGGGGGGGGGGGGGGGAGGAGGATCTTGAAAGAAGCCTTTGCATAATTGATTAAAAACACAATGGGGGGGTGAGTGATAGCACAGTGGGAGGGTATCTGCCCTGAACGCAGCCAACCTGAACCTGGACCTGGGTTCGATCCCTGGCATCCCCTAGGGTCCCCAAAGCACCGCCAGGAGTGACTCCTAAGCATTGCTGGGTGTCTCCCCCACAAACTCCAAACTAAAACACAGTAGCCCATATGATCAAAGCAATAGGACAGGAGGCCAGAGCGATAGTACAGCGGGGAGGGCATTTGCCTTCCACATGGCCCACCCGGGGTTCAATCCCCGCCATCCCATATGGTTCCCTGAGCACCGCCAGGAGTGATTCCTGAGTGAGTGCAGAGCCAGGAGTAACCCGTGATCCTTGCCAAGTGTGACCCCCCCAAAAAATACCCCAAAGTAATAGGTCAGTGGGGGGCTTCTTGACTTGCATGGGGATCTACCTGGGTTCGATCCCTGGCACCCCATAGGGTCCCCCGAGCACCACTGAGAGTGATCCCTGAGTGCAGAGCCAAGAGTCAGCCCTGAGCACGGCTGGGCTTGCTGTCCTACTACCGGGACTTAGCCAAGAACAGGAAACCAGTCATTGGAAAGACCTTTCCACACCTATGCAGTGTCATTCACGAGATCCGAGGCCCAGAAAGAACCCCAGTTCTCAGCTGTCTACAATGGGGTATCTAAAGCTGATCACACACACACTCACACATGCACACACACACACACACACACAAAACCACGACAAGTAGATGGTTGACATCTGGGAGTCACCCAGCCACCCCGCGGAGGATGGCAGACAGTCTGCCCCCTGTCCCCACTTCCTCCTGACGCCCTTACATGCCTTCCTTCTCCGTGTCTCCCGGCACGCTCTCCTCCATCACGCCACTCCCTGGTGGGGCTGGCAGGGCTCTGGCCCAGAGCCATATAGGGGCTCATCACAGACTTTATCAGTCCCAGCCTTCCCCGCTGGTCCCGGGGTGGCAGAATGGATTGGGAGAAAGGGACCATCTCTCTCCTCCCCACCTCACAGAAGCCACCGGTGGGGGCCCACCGACTTCACCCTTGGGGTGGGGGCTATGGCAATGGCCGAGCCCCAGTTCTTGGTGCCCCGTCCATCCTGCAGTCCAAAATGACACCCCCCACCCCCTCAACACCGCCTGGGGGTATGAGCTCAGGGCCTGGCCTGAGCATCACCCTCAGACATTGTAACACAAGCTCCAAGAAGGGGCCGGGTGGGACAAGGGCCCTGAAGCCAGCAGAGGACAGGCCTTTTCCTTTCCGGCTGTCACGGTGCCCTGGGTCTGCACCATGAGGGACCAGGCACGGCAGAGGGCACGGATGTGCCCTTCACACATGCACTGTCTGCACAAATTTGTCTGCCCATCCTCTCCCACTGGGAAACACCCACACGGAGCCTGGGCTGACCCCTGGCATCACACACCACCCACCCCGCCTGGAGTCAGCCTTAAGCACAGAGTCAGGAGTCAGCCCTGAGCACAGAGCCAATGGGTGGATGGGTGGGTCCACCCTGGAACCCCCAGCAAAGAAAAAAGAACACCCCAGACAACATGATGCACCCACAAAAGCGCCCCTTAATCGTGCTATCCTACTACTGGGAACTTAAGCCAAGAACATGAAACCAGTCATTGGAAAGACCTTTCCACACCCATGCAGCGTCATTCACGAGAACGGAGGCCCAGAAACAACCCCAGTCATCAGCTGTCTACGATGGGGTATCTAAAGCTGATCACACACACATGCACAGACACACACTCACACATACATATACACACTCACAGTCACACACACTTACAAACGCATACATACATATGCATACACACACATGCATGCACACACACTCATACACATGCCCACACACACATACACACATACACACACATGCATTCTCTCACTCTCTCATGCAACTAGATAGGAAAAAAATAACCAATAAGATCCTGTACTGAAAGTGGATTGTTACAGAAATCAAACAGAAAAAAATACATATGAAAGGGGCCAGAGTGACAGGACATGGGGAGGGCATTCACCCTGCAGGTGGCTGACTGGGGTTCCATCCCTGGCACTCCAGAGGGTCCCTTTGAGCACCATCAGGAAGGATGCCTGAGTGCAGAGCCAGGGGTCAGCCCTGAGCACCATTGGGTGTGGGCCCCCCAGCCCCGGAACAGAAACCAAACCAAATCCAAAGGAACCGAGCACCGCCAGGAATAATTCCTGAGGGCAGAGCCAGGAGCCACCCCTGAGCACTGCCAGGGCAAGACACCAGAAACAAAAGCAAAAAGAAACAGTAATGAGATAATTTCTCTAAACTTGCTCGCAGAGCTGTTACCATGCCGCAGAGCTGCCATGTACACGTTTTGCCTGTAGGGGGCAGCATTCCCCGGGGATCGAGGGCTTATGAGGACAGGGTGCCTGAGCAGGAGCCGGGAGGGGATCTGGGGGGATCGACTCACCTCAGCTCTTTGAAGGGGTCTGCCCTGACATTTGGTGTCTCAATGGATTTGGGGAACACGGTGCCTTCCGCTCCTGCAGGGACAAAAAACACAGAGGTTGGAGCTCAGTGCCATGGTGAGGGACCAGTAGGGCCCAGTCCAGGGGGCCCCGGAGCACAGTGCCAGGAGTACCAGGCCCTGAGCACCACAGGACATGGCCCGAACCCCAAACAAAGATCAAGGCTTGGAGGCTCTGTCTCGGCATCACAGCGGAACCAAGCCAAAGGAGGTGAGACGCCAAGACGAGGTCTCATGCTGGATGGACATGCCCGCCCCGTGGGTACCTGGGGACAAACGGCGATGGGACCCCTCCCCAAATGTGGGCTGTACGGGAAGGGCTGGGGCCAGGGCCGTAGAATAGCGGGGAAGGTGCTTTTCTTGCATGTAGCTGACCCAGGTTCGATCCCCGGCATCCTGAACCCCGCCAGGAATGATTCCTGAGTACAGAGCCAGGAGCGACCCCTGAGCATCGCTGGGTATGCACCCACCTAAAAAATGGGTTTGGCCTGAGGCCCCCCCTTTTTAAAAAACAGTTACTCCAAAGCCCCTGCTTGGGTCTTTAGGACAATCACCAACAACTACCCCACCCTCAGGCCAGGTTTGCCAACACTCTGCAGAAGGAAGGGCGCTGGACCGGGGTCCTGTGAGACTCCACCCGGCCTCCCTGCCTGCTCCCCCAGAAGCACGAACACAGCACTGGCCCCAGGCCCTTTAAGCACAAGCCTTTCCCTTAGAGCATTTTTTTTTTTTTGTTTTTGTCTTTTGAACCACACCTGGTGATGCGCAGGGCTCCCTCCTGACTTTGTGCACACTCTTGGCCATGCTCGGGGGACCCTATGGGAGGCTGGAGCCATAGTCCAGCAGGGAGGGTGTTTGCCTTGCAGTGGCTGACCTGAGTTCTATCCCCGGCAACCCGTAGGGTCCCTGGAGTTACCACTCAAGAGTGATCTCTGAGCACAAAAGCCAGGAGGAAGCCCTGAGCACCGCCAAACCAAAACAAACAAAAAGCTTCTGGCTTGCTCAAGTCAGTGGTTTTTCCAGCAAATACTACCTGACAGCACAGCGGGTAGAGCGTTTGCCTTTCACACGGCCGACATGGCCAACCCGAGTTCGATTCCTCTGCACCTCTCGGAGAGCCTGGCAAGCTACCGAGAATATCTCGCCCACATTGGCAAAGCCTGGCAAGCTCCCCGTGACATATTCTATATGCCAAACACAGTAACAAGTCTCATAATGTTACTGGGCTTGCTCAAGCAAATTGATGAACAATGGGAGGACAGTGACAGTGACCACTCACTTTGTCCTGCTTGCTGAATTTCACACACCAATCTCCTGTCTCCTGGCCCTTCCTGAAGCTTCAGAACATCACTTGGTTCGGGTTCTCAGAGCTCCAGGCTTTGAGGTACAAAGCAACTGGGGCTGTGGGCACCTGCTGCATAGCTGACGTGGGCATGCGTGGTGTTAGGGTTGGCAGGGGGACGCGGATGCTGAGGTTTTCCTGGTCACTCCCAGGCTGGGGTCTGAGCATGGGGCTGTGGTCTGTGGAGCCGGGACCACCTCTCTCTCCTGGCTACGTCCTCCTGCTGTCCCTCGCTGCACCCCACTCCCACGCGCAAGGAGATGAGGTCAGAACGCTTTGCCCAGAGAAGGACACTTTCTCCCCCAGTCTGATCCGCTGCTGGATTTTTTTTCACACCATCTCCCGTTTCTTGCCAGAGTAGACAATCACCCCACGTCCCCACCCACCCCCCCCCACCTCCAGCCCAATCCATTGTGGGCTAATGAATTATTCTCCCTTTTATGCCTTCAAAAAAAAAAAGAAAAAGAAAAAGCGCCTTCTATTAAAACCCATACCTCCGGATTCCTCCTCTTGACAGATTATAATTCACCGGCAATAAATGTTCATAAACAGTTTGAGTGAAAAATCCATAAAGCCATTCCAGCCTTATCTTAAGTCCCATTTAATGTCCCTCAGAAATGATTCCATCAATGTGCTTCCATTAGCTGGTTCTCTGCCGAGTCACTTAATTCCACCCCTGCCATCAGAGGCTGATAAAACATGTACTCGGTGTGGGTCCCCGTAAAGAGCAGATGGATGGAGCCTTCTCACCTTCCAGGACAGGCAAGGGGAAAATTTGTCTCTGCCTGCCCCACTGCCCCCCACCCCACAAAAAAAAATCACCACCCTCAAACACGATCTCAAAGGCTCCCCAATGTCTTAGGAATGAATAAAGCTGGTTTCTCTACTTGGGGAAATGTGCTCAGGTGCAGGTATAATTTGAGCCTGTCTTCCCCACAAAGCCCAGAAATGATAGCACAGCAGGTAGGTTGTTTGCCTTGCACCCAGTCGACTGGAGTTCAGTCCCCAGCATCCCATAGGATCCCTGAGCACCGCCAGGAGTAATTCCTGAGTGCAGAGCCAGGAGGAACCCCTGAGCATTGCTAGTTGTGACCCAAAAGAGAAAAAAAAAATAAAAACGTTTAAAAAACAAGCCCAGCATGTCAGGGGGTGTGGCATCCAGCCCATCAGATGCAGGGTTGGGGGTTGGGGTGGGGGAAATCTTCATTAAGTCACATGACCTCCCTCTTGGGATCCCTGGGTACCTCCTGCAACAAATCGAGGGATGGACAATAAGCATTACAATGAAGCCTTTCCCCCCAATGCCACATTATGATTTTAGTTTGGGGGGGCCACCCCTAGTGGTGGGCAGGGCTTCTTCCTGGCTCAGTGCTCAGGAATCGCTCCTGGCGGGGCTCTGGGAATCCTATGGGGTGTTGGGGCTCGAACCCAGGTCAGCTGTGTGCAAGGCAACTTCTCATCTCATCACCTCCCTTCCTCCCTCCCTCCTGGGAAAGGAAACCAACTCCAGACAGCAGAGTAAATGGTCATAAGTAGGTTTTCTCTGGTTAAAGAGACAGCAGAGAACAAGCAAGACGCGGGGCTGAAGAGATAGCACAGTGGATAGGGCAGTGGCCTTGCATGCAGCCGACCCGGGTTTGATTCCCAGCATCCCATAGGGTTCCCTGAGCACTGCCAGGAGTAACTCCTGAGTGCAGAGCCAGGAGGAACCTCTGTGCATCGCCAGGTATGACCCAAAAAGCAAAAAACCAAACAAACAAAAAAACCCAAGCAGATGTTAGTCTCATCCAACTAGCATTAGCTCAGAAGGAATAACAGTTCAAAGAGCAATGTGGTACTAGGGTAGCACTGTACTGTAGCACTGTCCTCCCGTTGTTCATCGATTTGCTCAAGTAGGCACCAGTAACGTCTCCATTGTGAGACTTGTTGTTACTGTTTTTGGCATATTGAATACATCATGGGTAGCTTGCCAGGCTTTGCCGTGCGTGTGAGATACTCTCAGTAGCCTGCTGGGCAGAAGAATTGAATCTGGGCTGGCCGTGTGCAAGGCAAACACCTTACCCACTGTACTATTGCTCCAGAACTGGTACTAGGGTAAGAAAAATAAAAAGGATAGAAAACAAAATTCTGTGAGCAGATAGAATATTTTCTTTGAAACTCTTCCAAACTCCAAAGATTGACCTAGGGATTCTTGACTTAACCCCCCAAAATTGTTTTTAGTTGATTTTTTGGGGCCACACCTGGTGGTGCTCAGGGTTTACCCTGGCTCTGTGCTCACTCCGATTGGGGCTCAGGGGACCCTCAGGGATTGCCGGGGATAAGGGGGAGCATCTTTCCAGACCTGAGCATCTTAACTTAATAAGAAAACAAGCCACCACAGACTGGAGAGTGAATGCTCCGAGTCTAGTCCTGTGCTAAAAAAAGTTAGAATGCTTATAGAGCCAGCAATAGCACAGTGGTAGGTAGGGCATTTGCCTTGCATGCAACTGACCCAACTGACCCGGGTTCGATTCTTCTACCCCTCTCAGAGAGCCCGGCAAGCTACTAAGAGTATCTTGCCCGCACGGCAAAGCTTGGCAAGCTCCCCGTGGCGTCTTCCATATGCCAAACACAGTAACAACAAGTCTTACAATGGAGACGTTACTGGGCCCACTCGAGCAAATCGATGAACAATGGGAGGACAGTGCAGTGCTATAGTGCTTACGGAGCCAGACTGGCCACAGGGGCTGAGGGCGAGAAATGGGCTTGGAGAGAAAGGCCGGGCATGAAGAAAGAATCACTCTGACCAGAGGAAGGGCTGTGGGCAGGGACAGCTGTGTGCCAGGAACCAAATCTGGGCCGTGGTACTGCGAGACTCTGACCAAGCCAGAGTGCAGCCACGACAAGGCGGCAGAAGTGAGAAAAATCAGGTGCGCTTCAAGTTCAGTTATGGGAACTGAAACAGATACAGTTTCCTGGCAATGAAACGATGTGTAACTGGCCAACCTGAACCCACCTAGACAGTTCCTGGGCTCAGCAAGTTTCTGAGCTGGGATCAATCAATTCCCACAATGTCCCAGCAATTGCCTTTTGTTAACCCTAAAAGAATGAGTATGTTACCATATGTAACCATCACTGTCATTGTCCTCCCATTGTTCATCATCGATTTGCTCCAGAGGGCCCAGTAAATTCTCCATAGTGAGATTTGTTGTTACTGTGTTTGGGGGAGCTTGCCAGGCTTTGCCTTGCGGGCGAGATACTCTCGGTAGCTTGCCGGGCTCTCCAAGAGGAGCAGAGGAATCGAACTTGGGTTGGCCAGGTTGGCCGTGTGCAAGGCAAACGCCCTACCCAATGTGCTCTGCTCGTGGAAACTATTGTTTAACTGTTGCCTGACCACGGTTACCCCTAGACCCTTTGCCAAAACTTACCTTTGTTTGGTAACTAAGTAAGATTTCTTTCGGAAACAGTAAGGTATGGACTGCTTATGTCATCAAACCCTCTATAAACAGCATTGCTGCCTGAAGTCGGGGTCACTAATCAAGAGACCACTCTGTGGGGTGAGATAGTTGACCCCAGTTAACTGGAATAAAACTCCTCCTGCTTTTGCATTATTGTGTTCGTGTCTCGGTTCATCCTGCCGCTTGGGAACCTATAGTCCCAGGCTTAAGAGGATACAGAGGTAAAACAGAACTCAC